TGCTCGGCGGGGAGTCTGCTTCTCCCTCTGCCCTCTTCCCTCTCGTGCTCTCTGTCTCTCATTCTCTCTCTCAAATAAATAAAATCTTTAAAAAAAAATAAAATCAACAATTCAGCAGGATTTAGCGCATTCACAGTGTGGTGCAACCACCACCTCCACTCAGCCGAAATATTTTTGTGCCCCCAAAGGACACCTCGTGTCCATAGCAGTCACTCCCCGCCCCATCCCCCAGCCCCTGGGGCCACCCATGTGCAGTGTCTGTGGGTGTCCCTGTTCCAGACAGTCCACGTACACGGAACGACACGATCTGTGGCCTTGTGGGTCTGGTCTCTTCCCATCAGCATATGGTTTTCGAGAACCATCCACGGCCCAGCCACGGTGGGTTTACCCATTCATCCGTTGTTGGACAGCTGGGCCGTCTCTACCTACCGGGTACTGTGACTAGTGCTGCTATGAACACAGAGCACACAGACTTGTTCGAGTCCCTGTTTTCAGACCGTGGGGTACAGACCTGGGAACCGAGAGGCACTGGGTCGTACGTAATCCAACGTTTCATTTGCGAGGAGCCACCCCACGGTGTTCCATTTTCCATTCCCAGCAGCAAAGCACAAGGGCTCCAATCTCTCCACATCCTGCGTGATGCTATCATCTCCATCCTGGCAGGGGACCCATCTGCCCTGCAGAGGACGCCCCCGGCCGGGACTCGGACACGGACCTCGGCCCACGTGCAAAGGCAGCTGGAGAGGAGAGCTCACACAGGCCAGCTTGGGCTATCACTCACGAGCCACCTGATCTAGATGCTTCCACTCCTCAAGCTTCTCAGCAGCATGACAGCCAAGAAGGAAAACCTCCAGCCCTGGGCTCAAGGGCCAGCCTGCACGAGGCTCTCCTTGTCTCTGACACAGTGGGGACTGCGTCAGCTGGTGCCTGGTCCCCTCCAGGGGCACGGCCCAACCAACCGCCAAGAAAACACCTGATCGCTTTCACACAACCCTCCCTGGGCCCCTCATCTTGTTATTCTGCTGAAGTCCTGAAAATGGTAAATGTATAAAAATGCAACCCTAGTGATTCTATTTCACTCTCAGATGGGGGCTTCCAGCCAAAGATCACCTTTTTCACTTCCAGAAAACCTTAAGGTTTGTGACCGGAGAAGGCCCGAGACTTACCGAAATGCTGGAAGGGATGAAGGTCCTGCCAGCACCTGGGAGGGGAAGGATTTGAGAGGTCAGCACAGCATCACGTCAGAGCTGGACTCTAACGGAGGCATGTGGTCCACTCGGGACATCAGAATCTAGTCCCCTATCTGGCTCAGAGGGCCCTCACTGTCCACCTCTGCACACCACCACCCTACATAGCCTCTGGGTTCCAAGCCTGCTCGGTGTTCCTGACCTTCCTACAACGGACAGTCGCCTTAACTGAAATGGGGCACAGGCCCCCCCATCCCCGACTCTGCTCGCTCTCCCCACACACCTCTCCAGGTTCATGCCTGACTTGCCTGCTCAAACCTGAAAGTCCCAAGAGACTCTGTCCTCCAACCACCTGCCTAGCACCTGAGCCACCCGGGGCACGCAGGCACGGTGCCATGGCGTCCCGGGCCAGCTGGTCAGGTGCACCAGCCCCTTCTCCACCTGCCTGCTGGGCTCCCATGTGCAAATTCCAGGCCGGCCTGGCCTGGGTGCTGAAAGAGCCCAAGTGCTCCCCCCACCGGGACTGGCTCCCAACCCCTACCTCACTCAAGGGCCCCTTGGATTAGCGCCACTCGCTCAACCACCACGACGCGTCCCCTACCCAGGGATGGGCTCCAGGATGCCCCCATCCCTGCATCCCACGCCCCCACCAGGCCCGAACCACAGGGGGGACTCCAGACGTGCGATTCCATGTGCTAGCGCAGAAACCACCAGGGAGAGCCAGCGGCGAGGACGGAGGTCCAGCCAAGCCGCCTCCGGCTCGCTTTACCACTGATTCCATCTGACTGCCTTGCCTCCCAATTCCCCAAATCCTGAAAAAGCTTCCGCCCTCTCAAAGTCAAGGAATCGCTCTACCAGCGGGATGCCAGTCTCTTTAAGGGGGACACCTGGAGCTAAAAGACCACTCGTCAGACGTTTCCATGTCCCAGAGGAGGGAACAGTGCAGGTGGGGGCTGTGCCCCTAAGGGGCCACAGGTCACGCCTCCTCCAGCACGCGGGCCATCCTGCATCTACTCCATCAGGGACTCCGCGTCCCCCCGGGGCCAGGCCCCGTCACAGAGCAGAAGAGCCTCAGGCGGGCACCGGCCTGCAGGAACATTCTGTTCACGGGGGAGAGACAGACAAGCAGACAGACAAGCGCAGCCGGGGCAGTGGGGATCCAAGTGAGAACACAGGAGTCAAGAGTCGAAAATGTCCCGAAGGACACATTCCGGCTGGGTCTTCAGGCGCCCACAGGTGGCTCACCTGGGCAGTGGGGACCCTGTGCGCAAAGGGGCCGGGGTGCAAACCATGATCACTGAGGCCTGGTGCGGGGAGGGGAACCAGAGGCTCCAGAGCAAGATCCCCTGGTCCGCCCCTGCCCACCCCAACCTCCTCCGCTGACCTGCCAGAACAGGTTCCTCCAGTGTTGGCTGAAAACAGAGCAGCCTGGCCAGCCCTCCTGGGGGCCCGATGGCTGCGGGGAAGGAGCAGGGACGGGCGGGGAAGGAGCAGGGACGGGCGAGCCGCCCACACGGACAGGGGAGGTGCAGACCATCAGAGTGGGGTGGGCACAGGGCAGCGCCAGGAGGAGACATCAGGAAAGGCCCAGGAACAGGCATGCTAGCAATCCAGGAGGGAAAGGGGGAGAGAAGCCTCAGGCAGGAGCTACAGGCCCGGAGTCAGGAGGGCGGGGAGGACAGCAGCTTGAGAAGGGCCCCGGGCCCCGCACCACTGTTCCTGGCGGGAGGGGACGCAATGGCCAACAGCTCCCAGGACAGGGGCAGGGGCAGGATGAAGGAACAGCAACTGCAGCAGGTGTCCCCACACCCCACTTCGTCCATCCCAGCCTCGGTCACGGTGATCCTGCCCGAAGTCTCTCCAATCAATTCTAGGGAAGAAATGAAGGCCCTCAATGCACCCCTACGTCTCCCCAAATACAACTCCCTGAACTTTCTTCCCGTCCCTGACAACAGCTTTCTCCTGGGACCATCCCAGGTGTGCCTCCCTACGGAGGACAGCCCGTTTTCCTGGCAAGTTGTGCACAAAACAACCCTACGCTGGCCTAAGCCTTCAGGAAGTTTACGTATATCAAGTTCTCTTTCAGGAGGAAGCACCTCCATGTTACTTTAAGACTCCTTGCATCAGGGGTTCTCCACTGGGGGTCGTTCTGTTCCCCAGGGCACATCCGGCAGTGAGGCTTGGTTGTGATGCCTGGCGTCTAGTGGGTAGAAAACAGGGATGCTAACTATCCTACACCGTACAGGACAGCCCCCCCACAACAAATTACCTGGCCCCAAATGTTAGTAGGGCTGAAGGTGACAAACTGGTTTTCCAAGATGCAGAGCAGTGGGGCAGAGCTCAAGGGTGGGCACGAAGTGCACAGATGATCCTTAATGCTTGCCTCTCGGCACAGAGGCCCTGGGCTCTGCCCTTAGGGTGGAAGCAAAGACAGGCAGCCCTGAGGTCAAGTTCTGACACTAGTTGGTTTGAGGACTATGGGCAAGTTACTAAGCCTTTTCCAACTTTAGTATAATGAGGAAAGTACCACCAGGCCCGTAATGAGGTAGAAGCGATTAAATCAGGTTAACGCAGGGCATTTAATTCTGCTTTCTGGGGTCCAGAGATGGAGACAGAGGGGCCCAAGCAAGGCAAGTTTGAATCCCTGCGCAGGAACAAGGGAAGCAGCCCAGCTTGGAAACAAGGAACCCCCTCAGTGCTGGGGGAGTGCCAACAGTTTTCCTGCAGAACGGAGCTGCAGTTCCGGCTGGCGTCCTAGGATAGCTCCGTCAGTCCTCACAGCCTCCCCAACTGGCTCCTGTCCTCGGGGTGCTCTCCCCTCTGGCCTGCCAACATCCAAGGGGCCACTATCCTGACAGCAGTCACCTGGCCCTCAGTGCCCCCTTTCTGCTGAGAGTTCAACCACCACATCTGGACATCCAGACTTCAAGCCCTGTTTACATCCCAGCATCAGGAGCCCTTCTGCCAAGGGTCAGCTGGGGCGGGGGCAGACTCCCTGGGGGCCGGAAGGTGCTGGACCTGTCCTGCTCTGCCCAGGCTGGCTTCCCTTCCTCCAGGGAGCCCCGCTGACTCATCTGCAGGGGTGTTAGCCTGGGAGTGGTTTTGTTTTTCTCCCCTCTGTTCTAGGTTTAGCCACCAGCTCCACTCTCCTGGGGCAAAACAAGTAAGATGTGGTCAGTACAACACCCCCCAACCCCACCCACAGTCCAGTATAAACCCCCTGAGGCCTCCTCCCACAGATGCTCCCCAGTTTTTCCCACGTCTATGTGCCTCTCTCACTGCCCCTCCCCAAAACGGGCAGCAACCCTGGGGACCCTCTGATCTTGACCACGCGAAAGGCAGAAGATGCGGGGTGATTTTGTGCTCCGACTGACCACACGGGGAGACCCTCCCTCCCTCGCAGCTGTCCCCCGAGGGCCCCCCACCTCTCCCACCCTGGGGGCCCAGAGGAGCAGGCAGCCAGAGGGGCAGGGCCCAAGCCCACTCCAGGCACCGTTCCCTCCCGGGTCTGGTGCCATCGCCCCCGATTCCCCCCCCGCCTCCCCGGGATCGGCTGCTCCCTCTGGGCCACTGGGCCAGCGCCCCGGCTCAGCTCACCGCAGCCCACCGCCCCAACACCCACCGGAACTGGCCAGTCGGGTCGCCCGCATGGATTTTCCCTTGAAGCAGCCCGCCCCCGTTGCCAGGCGAGGGCGCTGACGGGCAGCTATTTGCCCCAATAGCAGACGTGGAAGCTGAGGGGGCCGAGCCCTAGAAGGAACTCAGCCAATGGCCATGCACCTCATGGGGCGTGGGCCGGGGCGGACGGAGGCGGGGCCGGGGCGGGGCCCGCAGGCCGGAAGGAGCGCCTGGGCGGGGTGCGGTTCCCGCGGGTGCGGCTGGGGAGGAGCTGGAAACCGGGCTGGGAAAGAGAGAAGCACCTGGGGAGGGAGGGGGAGTCCGGGCTGGGGTCGAGAGGAGCAGCTGGGCCGTGGGAACAGCTGGGAGGAGAGGAGAGTGGGCCCAGTGAAGACAGTGAGGGAAGAGGCGGGTAACCCGCTGGGGGACGCTCCTGCGGATCCGGACCCAGGCAGCTCTCCTGTGACACCCCTCGCCCTGCCACCTCTGGTTTTGGCCAGGGGCCCCTCCCACCTGGGCAAAGTGCAGCCTCCTGAGGTGGAGCTTGTGCCCCTTCTCCCCCCCCGCCCCCCCTTACCTCCTCCGGGTAACCAGGTCTTCTGCCTGCATTCTCCTCCTTCCCAGCAGCATTTAAACGTGCCCACGGGGCGCCTGGGTGGCTCAGTCGGTTAAGCGTCCCACTCTGAGTTTCAGCTCAGCTTGTGATCTCAGGGTCGTGGGTCAAGCCCCATGTCAGGCTCCGCGCTCAGTGGGGAGTCTGCTTCTCTCTCTCTCTCTCTCTCTCTCCCTCTGCTGTCCCCCAGCCCTCTCTCTCTCTAAAAGAAAAGAGAGAAGAAAAAAACGTGCCCACGTCTGTTCCAGCCTTGATAAACAGACTCTCCCTGCCCCCCATCCCCTTCAGTTCTCAAACCCCTGTAACCTGTCCCCAGCAGCTTGTCCCTAAATCCAGCAAGCACTTTCACAGTGGGCATCCTCCTCCTCATTAAAGCCCTCCTTTCTGGGCTTCCGGGTCGCTAGTCGCTGGCTGCTCTCTTCCTCTCTCCCAGGTAGTTTTCACCCAGGCTCTGCTGGCTTCTGCTTTGCTGGAGGTCCTCCCGCTGCTCTCCCCAGGCTGCGCATCCCTCCCTGAGATAACAGCCTTCCTCGTGACTTCCACTCCACCTGTCTGCTGTGCTGACCCCCAAGCCTGCACTTTGACCCCATATGTTTGCTTATCAGGCATCCCCACAAGGCTGCACCTGAAATTCAGCCCAGCTGAAACTCAGCCTCTTCCCTCCAAAACCGCTCCTCTTTACTTCCTTCCTTAGGGCATGTCAGCACCTCCCATGCCTCCTCCCTCTTCCTCCAGGTTGTTTTACTTCCAAGATAGCTCCTGCATCCACCCCTTTTCTCTCCAAGTCCCCAGGAGGCCCCTCTCCAGGCCAGACTGCAGTAACGGCCTCCTTCCTGGCCTCTTTGCCTCCTCCAGCCCATCCCCCCTGCTCCCTACTGGAGCCAATGGAGCACTTAACGCCCAAATACCTGTCTGTCCTGCCCCTAGACTGAGAGCTAGTAGCCCAAGATCAGCTGGGCTATTCATCAGGCCCCAGTGACAGACACAGGGAAAGCCAGCTGATGGTTTTTAACTGTTCCTAAAGTTCACAAGGAAGGTTATTTCTCAAGGACACATGGCCGCACCTGTAAAGTAGCGTAATGATCCCTTGAGTAATAAATGTTTTTTTTAAAGGTTTTATCTATTTACCTGATAGAGAGCACAAGCAGGGGAAGCGGCAGGCAGAGGGAGAGGAAGAAGCAGGCTTTCCGATGAGCAGGGAGCGGGACGCGGGGCAGATCCCAGGACCCCGGGATCATGACCCGACTGTAAGGCAGATGCCTAACAGACTGAGCCCCCCCAAGCGCCCCGAGTAATGACTGTTTTACTGAAAAAGAACTTGGAACTCCAAAATCATAGATCAGCAACAACTTTGCTGTTTGACGTTCCATCCTTAAGAATGAATCTTCCTGCTCCCGCCTGGAGAATTTAAAAACTTTGCCAGAGAAGAGCCTGGATTTGCAACCCAGGTGCAGAGCTCCAGAACAGCTTTGCAGTTCCCAAGAGAACGGGAGCCGGTCCACTTTGCAGGCCTGACCTAATGCTGCTCCCACATGGCCCTGCGTTGCCCCAAGCCCATGGAAACACTGCTTCTTTCAGCCTTCACCCAAACTCCACTTTCCACAAAATCCGATGAAAGCTCGCTCTTTACATTTGTCAGGTGAGCTGCCCCGGGGTTCCTGGTGCAGTGGGTAAAGAAACCTGCTTAGCCAGACTCTGGGGTTAATCCTGGGGTTCTTAGGCTGGTGGAATTTAAGTCTGAAAGAGCAAGGGCAGTACTTGTCTCTCGAGTTCATAGATGCACATGGAACAGAGACAGGCTCTCAACATCTCGTGCTTCATCATCACCTGCACCTGCTGAAGCCATGGGAGGTGGGAGATGAGGATTACATTGAAGGGAGGGGCTGGCTGGGGGAGGGTCTGTAAAAGAGTGGTTTGGAACTGATCAAGGGGAAAAAAAGCACATTGAGACGCTATGTGGGGAAACAGGTGGGAGAGAAAGAAGTACACAGGGAGGTCTAGGCTTAAAAACTCAAAGGCCGTCTGAACATTTTCCTTTCTTGTGTCAAAGATCTATTGCCTTTCCAAACTTTTTTTTTTAAGATTTTATTTATTCATTTCACAGACACAGAGAGCACAAACAGGGGGAGCTGCAGGCAGAGGGAGAAGCAGGTTCCCTGCTCGATCCCAGGACCCTGGGATCATGACCTGAGCCGAAAGCAGACGCTTAACCGACTGAGCCACCCAGGCGCCCCTTTCCAAGCTCTTTCTGCCCACCTTTGTCTCCATCCTCCCTACCAATCAGATGCTTCCTGGCCATTCTCCAACTCAATCTGGACACGGGAGTTCCTTCCTTCCAGGGGCCCTGCCTCAGGGCTGCACCTGGCTGACGGCAGCCTGCAAGACACGGCTTCTTGCAGCAAAACTGGTCTGAGCCCCAAGGCCTATGTGCCAGGAGAGGCAGAGCCAGGAAAGCCAAGTGTCCAAAGCCCAGCCAACCCCATGTCCTGCAGACCAACGACCAGTGAATGGTCCCAGCTCTTCAGCTCATTCAAGTTAGCTTTCTGCCACCTGCAGTCAAGGTGGTAGAAGGATTGGGTCCCCCTGTATTTATGCACACATGGCGGCTCAGGGGAATCAGGAGGAGACCGACGTAGTTGGTTTGATAGTGTTCCGATCTCTAAAGCCAGGGACTCCCCCTGTGCCCATTGCCTGCACCTGGGACGGTGCCACCACCCCGTCTTGGCTGGGCCCTGGCTGCGGGAAAGCCCTTGGTGACATCCACGGTGGCTCTCCTGTCCACAGGGTCCTCCCGCTCTCCCTCCCCACGAGCCGGCAAGGCTAAGCCACATCATTGATACAATTGTCCTCCGCGAAAAAGGCTTTTACTGGTCTAAGCACTAAATGAGGGGCTGGCCGGCTTACTCTGTGAAAGGCCAGATAGTAAATACTTTACATTTTTCAAGCCATTCAGCCTCTGTCACAACCACGGGATTCTGCTGTCCTTGCACAAAAACAGCCACAGACAATATACCATTGAACAAGGCTGTGTGTGGGACTTTCAGGAAGGCCGCTGAAATGTCAATTTCGTGTAATTTTCACACATCCTGAAATATTCTTCTGTTGATTTTTTTCCCCCCATTTAAAACGTGAAAATCATTCCTCACTCACTGGCTGTCCCCAAACAGGCAGCCAGCCAGATCTGGCTTACAAGTTAGTACAGTTCCTGTTGTGTTTTAATAATATTTATTTAAGCTTCAATTTTGCACATTTGTATTATATACCCTTTAAAACTGGGGTTTCTGGGGGGAGAACTCCCAGTCACAGTTCTGGCCCCCAGCACACATGGACTCCACTGCAGGCCTTCCTCTCAAGAGCAAGTTTGAAATATCTAGAACTTTCCAAACTCCCTTAGGGTGTGGCTTGGTTCTCCAGCCCCTCTTGGGGTACATTTTGTGTTAAAAGAGTGGATTTGAAGTAAAGATTGGAAACATAGTGATGTCAAAGACCAAGAAATGGACCTTGGGCTACTTGGATGAGCTCATTCGGCATGACCACTCAGTTTTTGTGATTAGCAATTCTCAACGACAGAGCAGCCTAAAAGCCTTTGGAATGAATCCCAAACACACCAAGGTATGAACAGTTTTTCAGTTTCTGGAATGTACTATGTAATGAAATTTGGATCCATCTTTCCCTATCTGTCGAGCTATGTGTCATGAAGAAATTTGAAAGGTTATTAAAACATGTATACCTATGATTGACTAAATAAAAATGTAGAAGAGGCAAATCTTCAAAAAAAAAACCCCATAATTTACATAGATGATCCCGAGTCAAGGAGGTGGAGCCTAATTCCCCAGTCCTCAGGTGGACTGGGCACAAGCACTTCCTCCCAAAGGGGACAGGATGGAAACAGGGGAGGGGTTAACCCTACAGTGGACAAACCGACAAAAGCGACCTCAGCCATGTGATCAAAGTCAACATCAGTAGTGATGAATTGTGTTGATGCCGTGGGCCCTTCTGGGCTGAGAACACCCTTGGTCTGGGGAGTTCCCTCCCAAGGTGACCACCTCCTCTCCCGAACCACAGCCCATCATGGACCCGGCAAGCACAGCTCATTCATCCAGTCAGGTTGGTCTGCATGGCTAGGACTCCCAACCATCCCGTCAGGCCGCTGTGTTTTAATAATATTTATATAAGCTTCAAATTTGCACATTTGTATTACATACCCTTTAAAAACTAACCTGACCTGAGTCGAAAGCAGACCCTTAACCGACTGAGCCACCCAGGCACCCCTTTCCAAGCTCTTCTGTCAGTCCGTCCACGTTTCAGCTTTCTCTTGGGATCTTCTACCTACTCACCGTCTCCTCCCACCGCACCAGCCTATTCTTACACTGCTCCGCGCCTTTGCACCCCTGTCCCTCCCATGAGCTCACATCTCTGCTCCAGGGA